AACACCAGACGATTTTATCAGTCAAGGGAATCTCGCAGGTGCTCAATCAGTTAATCAGACTATCTACCCATGTGTCCAGTTAACACATAGAGATTCACTGTGCCATACTTTATAATTTTACTCTGTCTAACTCCATATGATTTTACTCGTCAAGGGTAGATCGCAGGCGCCCAATTGATTAATCAAACTATCTTCCCATGTGTGTAGTTAACAAATACACCCTTCCAGAAAGTACATCACTTTGGCTATAGAGCCTCGTTTTCATGTATCTGACATCAGTTAAAGGCCGCGTCTCAATCACGAAAACGAGGCTCTATAGCCAAAGTGACGTACTTTCCGGGAGCGTGTGTTGAGTTCAGACTCTCTGCTCATGTGTCTACTGCAGTTAACCCATTGAGTTGCACTGTATTTGCACCATAATGTGCCCTACTTTACAACGATACTCTGTCTAACAGACAACTTTACTGGTCAAGGGGAGAGCGCTGGTACTTAATGGGTTAAATGCTTTTTACAGATACATACAAAATGAGGGATAGAAATGCACAAAGTAGAGGTGGTTTTTTCTTTTGGAAACATATTGCAAATCAAGATTATTTTGTGCCGAGATTAAAGTTTATTGACTTACACAGGAAATGTTTATTTTTGGATTTTCCTGCCAGGAAGATAATTTTATATATTTTCTAGGTCTGGTTTCGTTTTCATATTTTTGTCAATGTTTCAGACTTGCAGCCATGAAAGTTCTCCGGATTGAAATATACTTTTATTGAGCATTCGACTCGGTACTTCACAACAAACCTTTCCTTAACACTGGACTTAAAGCTAGTAAAGAACTACAACTGTTCACAGAACACTCCAACTTAATTTTCTTCTACTTGTCGGGTCTTTCCAATAAATTATCCATTTTCAGTTTTTACTAATTTCTTTATCATGTTTCGCTTCGCTTGGATAATCCGCCCACATGACAGATGCTCTCTCTCTGCGTTATATTTTGTCAATGCTTCAGACTTGCAGCCACATTGCAGCATGTAATTAAATATAGCTTCACAAGACTTGACTCGCAATGTTTATTCAATTCCATTGCAAGGCTAATTTTAAACTCTGTTTTTACATCAAAGGGTCCTGGCACCAGTTTCAGTGTCTAGACCTTTAAAAAGAATACTAAATGTGCAAGCTGCTAAGTTTACTATGCAGACAGACAATATTTGTGTGCATATTTAGCTGATGTGCACATTTTTTGAGAATTGAAATCATGTGTGCATGCATTATGTGTGCACTTTTTGCACAATTTGATCCTTCAAGAAAGAGATTTCTTTAGTTTAAGAATTGGAGTTGTGTGTACATTTTCCCTCACTTAAATGTAGATAAAAATAGAGGAAATCCTATTTAGTGAAGCACATTTTTTCCCACGTCAACAACAAATCCCTAAAAGAGGTCCTCTTGGCACTTCCTATGCCTGGCTGTGTGCTCATTTTGTCTTCTATCTGACATGTATGTGCACATATTTTACCAAAAGAAAAAATCTTTTGTGTGCAGTTACAGTATAGACAAAGTTAGCACCAAATGGGGATTTTACAGAATTGCACAAAGCTGTAAGTATAATAAACGGAAAAGAAACTTTGCCATACACAGTTTACAGCTTTTTTGTTCAAATATTAACTACGCCGGATTTATAATTAAGAATTTGACCCAAAATAAAATATTAAAAATCCCACAATGTTTGTATTTCATGTTTATTTTAATTAGGCGCTACTGTGTTCATATTCATCCCAAATTAAACAACACCCTTATTTTTGAAAGGAAAAACTTTCAAAAACGACAACATTAGCACTGTATTTACGTTCTGGTAAAAAATTAGAATAGAATTTAGACAATCATGTGTAGTTAATAATACAGGTAATTTCATATACAAAAGAATATTTGAAAACTTCCGTGTAAATCTTCAATTTCATAATCCGTACAAATGTCATACCGAAGAAATATCTTCCCGTAAAAAATATACGCTATACAATCAGAGCATTTACTATACTATCATTCAATAAGCCTTTATAGAAATTCGAACCATACAAAAGAACAATTTCAATAAACTTCAACACACGAGGGCTACTCGAGAATTCAAACACATGAACAACAGTATATTACTCGGTTTATATAACACTGATATCGTTGTCAAAATTCACAACATTCTGGCCTTGATGTAAATATTTAAGATCTTACCTTTTGAAAAGCCAGCAGGCATTCACAGCAAGAGCAATCTCAGTACTATTTAATACATCGACATTTTGTCTTCTTGACCAAAGTTTACGTTTACAGAGGACTTCCTTCATTTCCGGTAATGACATCTAAAGTCCGTACGGGTTTCCAACACCGGCATTGTATCCCGCAAGCAATTCAGGCAATACGGTTTTCACACTAAAGCGGAATGTGGGTTGTAAAACAGATAAACACAGGACCGGAACTACTGGGGGTGTGTGAGGGGTGTAACACCCATCCCTCTCCCCAAAGAATAGTAAAAAAGGGGCCCAACTTGCGGAGAAGGGGCCCTAGAATGCTGGAATTGCGGAACGTGTTAAATATTAAGGAATTTCCTGGAAAATTGAGGTCGAAAAAGGTCTGAAAAACTAAATTTAGGCTCCCATTATGTAAAACTAGTGTTCGAAAAATTTTTTGGGACGTTTTGTTTTTGTGGACCGGAAAAATGTTTTTGAGGGGGCCCTGGAATGGAACGGGGCCCAAATTTTTGAATTCCTCCCCCCTCCCCCCCTCCCCAACCAGATACCGCTCGGGCTTAAATATGACTCTCTAAATGTACAAATGTATGCCTTAAAACTCAAATAAAGTAACTGAAACTTACGTGTTGTATTCTTGTACTCCTTAAGATATTCTCAGTGCTCGTCACTGTGGACTCTTCTTATATAGTATTATAATATTAATACCCAAGGTGAGCCCTGTTAGAGTTTTAGGATTATGGATTTAGGATTACTGATATAGTTTATTTTTTGCGATATCTTTGACTTTGTTTGGAAGAAAAGGATAGGGATTATTTTCATAATTTACTCAGAATTACAGTTTATTCGGAACCCACCCCCTTAGCAGGGCCTCCAAGGTAGGAAGCAAGGGTCCAGATGTCGGCCGAACACAGTTTCAAGATAATCAAAATCGTCACCGAAATGTTCTGTCAGACAGGCTCTACTTTTGCAGGTGTTCGAAAGGATAAATTTCCATGTCTTTACGCCAAGCAAACAAAACCAAATGCAACCTCGCAAGCCAGGGTCTTTTCCTGCGGAGGTAAAGACACTGGCTGGCTTGCGAGTTTAATTTAACAATGTATATTCGAAATGTAGTGCTGTAGTAAATCTACACCAATAGAAATAATAGATATCTATTATTTCTATGATCCACACCTAAGTGTGGACAGAAGAACATGCACTTAAAACTTTCAGTGAAGTTAAAAGTTTTAAAGTTACCTGTCTATAAGTATAATGCGGATACTTTGCCCTGCTTTTGGTTGTATAATTAGGACAGTTCGATATTATATTCGAATTTAAAATTTAATTTGAACACTAGGAGAAAAAGGACACAAAACATTCATAAACATAAACATTAAAGCCCTGGTCAAATTAAACGATGATGAGAGTTACTGAGCTAGAGCTAGCAATTGCAAGCGAAAGTTTGAATGTGAGTTCTCTCAACTCTCTCATCCTGCGAGTAGAGTCTCATGCAGTCTCTTTCTCCCCCCTCCCTCATCCCCATACATGGTTAAATATGAAAATTTAACCTCTAATTCCATTGTAAAGTATGTTCAAATACTAGTCGATTATAACTCTGAATTATTATTATTATTACTATTTATCGGTATTATTATTATTATTACTATTATTATACAATCGCTTACATTTTGTGAAATTTGATAACTTAATTCAAATATTTATACTGGATAGCTCTATCAGTTCCAAACAGTTTTCCCCTAAATCTAATACTCAGGATCCAGAGTCCCCGCGATCGATAATCAAACGTTTGTAGAATCAAACTTTCGTTTTTCTCGTGAGCTAAGATTCAAGATTCAAGGCATACCTAATTTTAGTGTGCAGTGATAACCAATTTGTGCAGTGATAAAAATGAAATGTGCAGTGATAAAATGTAAAATGTGCAGTGATAAAATTTGCTGTGATAAATTGTTAATTATATGAAGAAAATGAGGCAACAAGCAGAAAAACTGAACTAAAAACGTGTCTTGTCACTAAAAAGTATTAATAATCATTTTGAATGAGAATATCCTGAATGAAATTGAAATAAAAGATGCCAAATTATCGAACGTCAGCACTAATATTATACTTAAGCCGGTTGATCAAATGAACAAAGTCTCCCATCAAAGATCTCTTTATGAGCTTGGATGTTGGAGTGAATGATACTTAACTTTTTGTACTTGTATTAGTATAAAATCCTCAGCATTCTATAGAATGTCCCCGCACATGGACAAAAAGGCCCTTTGAGAGAGGCTAGTACAAACTTTTCTGTGGGTGCATGCCCCAGGAACTCTTTCACAGTTTATCACATCTAATCCGCCTCTTATTTATCAAGACGAAAATTTTTAGTTCCTGCAAGCATATGATTATCAAACTACGCTGTCATAGAAAGTCGTAACAGCAGGTGCTGTCAAGGCCGCCCAGAGGGAGGGGGCAATTTGCGCTGGACCCCAGTTAAAGGTGGCCCAAAAACGAATTACATTGAAATATAGGTATAACTGACCAACAAACTTCCAGAATGCAGGATTTGGCCATTTCTGGGAACTGAGATTTCAAAATTTTCCCAGGAGAATGCCCCCAGTTCCTCTTAATCATAGTGTTAGAAGATGGAATCAGAAGGTCCACAACTCAATTTTTGCCCTAGACCCCAAATTTCCCTGGGGGACCCTGGGCGCTTTGCAGTGCATGTTGATTTTTTATATTTCAATTGTAGCCTGTCTTTTGGTTACACATTAAAAGGATGTGTCCACAAATTTTGCGTGGCTTCTGCTCGGCTAAACTTTGCACAAAAATGTGCAGTGATAAAAAAGTCTTAAAATTAGGTATGATTCAAGGTTCTTTAATGACACTATTTCATTAAATTAATTACAAACAATTATGGAATAGATAATAGAACGAAAAGAAAAAGGAAGATAAAGTCAATATAGTGTTAGTGCACAGTGGTCAAAGGAGCATAGCTTTCTAGTTGACCATGCACTGTCTACTATTTCATGATATTAACTAAATGAGAAAAGCCAAAAGAAACAAATGTGTCTCTAAATAACACACATTACAATACATAATATATAATCAAGACTATTTACAAACTATATTATATTAATTTATCATTTTTCTAAATTTGTTCGGATACGATAAATATTAAATGTTGTCTTTTAAATATACCAATTGATTCTCAGTTTTTTATGTTTACAGGTATGTTTTCCCATATTTTTGAAGCAATATATTTGAAAGTGTGTATTCCATAATTTGTTCTTACTTTTGGTCTCGTGTATTATAAGAATGGATACTGGAAGAAAATCCAAAAAATAGAAGGCACAGCCTTTTTTTATGTGCAAATTAGGCCAAATAAAAAAAATACTTGGTTAGCGTTACACTCACAAAAAATTTTCAGAGGCGGGAGGGCGGGGTTTTTTTTTAAATTTTTACTCGTTTTTTAATTTTTTAATAGTATTTTCTTTTGGAGGGGATGGGGGGCGGTTGTTCCACCATATCGGTGATATTTTTTGTTCTGATGTTGCGAAGGCTGCCATTTTGCTATAAGAGATAGATAGATAGATAGATAGATAGATAGTTTAATTAATTAATTAATTAATTAATTAATTAATTAATTAATTAATTAATTAATTAATTAATTAATTAATTAATTAATTAATTAATTAATTAATTAATTAATTAATTAATTAATTAATTTAAAACATTACAACCCACGGGTTGAATTACGCTTCTAACTTTACAATAAATATTTACTTTATCTAAAATACATGTTGTATGAAACTATTTTTAAATCTATTCGTCCTACTAATAGGAACGTTAAAATACTTAAAAATGTTTTCTTTCCTCATATTATAATTTGAAAAGTTCTTACTTGGTAGTAATTGGTAAAGCTTATGACTTTCGTCATTTACAATGTCATTAAATAGTTTAGTAGTTAGAATTTGTCTTCTATTAAATAATGAGTCAACTTCCGCTTCTACCAAAGCTTCTGCATAAGGTAACGTTGAGAAGATGATATGAAGGGCTCGCTTCTGTAACTTCTGCAGATCTTCGCATAGGTAATTGGGTAAGGAGTCGTGGAAAACGGGACAAACATATTCCATCACAGGAGTGACACAGGTCAGGTAAAATGTTAGTAAATCCTTTGTACAGTTTTTGTTCTTTTTAGTTGACAAAGAAAGAAGAGTCTTGTTGAAACTTTCTTCACAATCGAAAGGCGGGCGGTAACACTTTTATTTGGCCTCATATAACTCAATGTATAGCAATGCGCAGTTTAAAAATATTATCTAATTTCAAAATCCCAAGTAATTTTTTCTAAATAGAGGCATTTTCTCTGCTACGTGTAAAGAAAATGCTTCTGATACATTTGTTTTGTTTTGTGCATATTTTAGTCAGCTTGGATGCATATGTATTGCCCCAACTCATTATTCCATAATTCAAATAAGGATATATCAATGTAATTATGTAAAATAGAGATGTTTCAGCATCTTTAAATCAACGTAATATCTTGTATATTAATTATACCATAATTTTTTATTAATCTTAACATTAACGTGTTTGATTTGATGATCCCAGTTCAAATACTCATTTAAAATACACGCCTAAATATTAACATAACTTTTCTGTTCGATATATTTATATGAATTTTTGCAATTTTTCGATTGGGAGATGTGAATACCAAAAAATATGGGTTTTTTTTAAATTTACTGATAATTTATTAATTGCACAATATTTAAATAAAGCTTGAATTTCTTCATTCATTACAGTTTCAAGCTCATTGGCATTTTCACAAGAATAAAATACACTTGTATCATCGGCAAAAATCCGAAAATAAAGTTTTCTTGAACAGTTGGAAATATCATTTATGTGTAGAGCAAAAATAGTAATGGTCCAAGAGTAGATCCTTGTGGTACACCACAAAGCAAATTCAATTTGTCAGATTCAGTATCTCCTACTCTAACATATTGTTTACGATTTGTAAAATAATCAGTAAACCATAAAAGAGGAACACCACGAAAACCATATTTATTCAATTTAGAAAGCAGTATTTCGTGATTAACTGTATCAAATGCTTGGGAGAAATCTAGAAAAATACCACATGTTAGTTGTTTCTTATCTATGGCTGTTTTTATATTATCAGTAATTTCAAGAATAGCTTATTCAGTTGAATAGCCTTTTCTGAATCCGAACTGATAGGGGAATACTCAGTGCTGTAGATCAACATCGTTAACTGTGTCGAATGTCTCCAGTTTGTATGGGAATTCTTTCCACTGTTTATACACCAGTTCCTCTGAATTTCTTTTAACACGAAATGAAAAAATCTTTAACATTGGAAACTCGCCAAATTTGTTTTTTGCTCGGACACCCCAATCTTGATCGCAACTTTCACAGTGTACTTTTCCAGTCTTGCAGAAACCACCAGGCAAGGATTTGGAAGAGGCCTCTTTGAAAATCACATTGTGAAGGTTAGTTTTATATTTGGGAACGATGCGACATGTATTGCTGAACAATTTAATATGTTTTGCCTTGCAAGCAAATGTTTCACATTTTTTGCAGTGAAAATCAATATCGTCTGGAACTGGTGAGGCTTGACTTGAACTTTGTTTGGCAAGATTTTTTTCAAGGTATTCATTGTAAGCTTCCTTCTGAAGATGCTCAATCTTTAAGAGAAAAAAAACGCGCGTTAAAGATGCGGTGTATCGCAACGCACTTGTAGGCAGTGCTATATAAGTAACTTTGTTATACAAGTAATCGTTACCCAAGTTTTTAATTAGCTGTAACTAGTTACATTTTGGCTTAAAATGGACGGTAACGCGTTACTTCTCTGACCAACGTTTTCGTTTAAAAAGTAACTTACTTTTTTTCGTTACATTTTCACGTTAAAATATAGTACTTGCTATTTTGTTTATACCATCAACTTCTATTGTGACTTCAACTTCTATACATAGTGTAAAATAATTATAAATTTTATAATTTAAATACAACTTGGTCTTGGTCAGTATATAGTTCATTTCCGAATTTATATGATTAATTCCAATTATACAAAGGTTGATGAGCCTGCATGCTAGTGTAATTGGGGTTATATGAGTGAACAAAGGGAGAAATGTACGAGTCCCATCCAACACTAATCCTGACGGATATGCCCTCCCTAATCTTATGCAATGCTCGGTGTTAAAAAAGTCACGAGAGCATCATGGGAAGAGCGTTCCTATATGACAACCGGTGTGGGCGCGAGATTTCAGTTTCTCTTTCTACACTGGGATCGATGCCCTATAGTGTTGAAATGTGGTCTGACGCACGGTAAAGATGAAGTCATACCACACCTGTATAATTCTCGTATATTTCTCTTATCGTTTACTTATATAACCTTAATTATACTGTCAGGCTCATCAGCAGCTGTATAATTGGAATTTATTGACCACATTGACGTAATAGATAGATGGTTTTAATCATACAAATTTTGCAGCCATAGGCTGGGACTGCTAGTCCGTTGTTTAAAGGCCTATATCCTCAAAACTATTGCACCAAATAAAAAAAAGCTTTTGAACTTATATTAACTAATTTTTACGCTCTTTTCAAATCCATAAAGGTCCCACAAAGGAACAATGTCAGAAACTCGTTTATCAGGTCGAGTAGTTTTAGTCAGTTTAGATAATGTAAATGTACATGATACCTTCTGGTGCCAGCCGATGATTCAAGTCCAAATGTGCTAGAGAAGAAACCCGCTTACGGTATGTAATGGCAAAAACGGTAGACAATTTCCAAAAAAGATGTTTTAAGGAAAGTTCGGAGTTATTCCCCATTTTCACCAAGTGGGAGATCACTGTGGAAGCATCCCAAGTCTGGGAATTTCGGGGTTTGGGAGAATGCTGGTTGAGAATCCCTTTCAATAAATTTACTACATAAGGATGTTGTCCCACTGCATAACCATCAATCTTGGGGTGGGTAACCGAAAGTGTAGACCTTATGAGATTGATAGAACGATACTGAAGACCATTATCAAAAGAGTCTGATAGAAATGTAAGTATGTCCTTCAAAGATGCCAAAACCGAATCAATTTTCCGTGAACAACACCAGCTGCACCAGCTTGATTCATAGGTCTTGTGGAGAATATAGTGGTTGCGATGTCATGAGTAAGTTGGCAACGTCTGCTGGAAGATTCTCTGCTTTGTGGCGCTGTAGAAGGAATGCAATACACCCAGATAGAGACGTGGTGAAGTACATTGGGTGAACTGCCTGTGGATCCGAGGGATCAGAAGGTGTGGTGAGACTGGCAGAAGAACTGGTTACTGGATTAGTAATTGAAGCAGTAGATGCCACCAAGGTTGTGTTTGCTAAATTGGGGCTATCAGTACAATCTCTGTTTGGTCTGTCACTATTTTGTTGAGCACTCTTGATACCAGATTGAATGGTGGAAAGGCGTATCCCTTTAGCCCGTTTCAAAGCAGGCTGAGGGCATTTTAGTGGAGAGCTTTGGGATCTGGCCGCCAGCTGATGTAGGTTAGGAGCTGATGAGTTAATCTCGTGGCAAAAATGTTAGTTTGGCAGTGCCCTAAAGGGTCTGATAAGGCTGGGATCCAGCATCCAATCAGTGTTGTCCACAAATAGCCGAGATTCCCAATCTGCATAGCTGTTTGACGTTCCTGGGACATGATGCGCTACTAGGAATATGTCTCTCTGGATGTACCTGTTCCACAGATCTGGACCAAGTTGAAGCAGGTGAAGACAATTCTTTATTCTTTATTTAGCTTTGCCAACCAGGGCAGGGTCACCACAACAGCATATGCCGATTACTGTGAGCCCTTTTTGCCTAACCCACCCTGTCAACTTTCCCTGTGGGAGGAAACCGGAGTACCCGGGGAAAACCTACTGATTTCGACAGAGCGTTGACTTTTACTCTTTTCACATGAGGACTGGGTTCAAGTCGCATTGAGAAAGTTCTCACTGGGGGCTGAACCTGCGGCCTCAGAGGTGAAAGGCAAGTGCGCTAACCACTTGACCACCGAAGCCCCATAAAATGTGTCCTACCTTTGTGATTGATGTAGGCACGGTTAATTGTGATGTAGGCTTCGGCCGTGGAATTGTCCATATTAAGGAACACAGTTATGGAGGATTTGTTTTTCAAGCGAGAGCTTGTATTGACAGAAAGGCACCTTTCAATTCTAGAATATTGACTGCAACTCCTGTCTTGACTGAGGGAAGAGAACTACTTTTAACCTGTAATTGCCTAGGGATCTGTGTAGCCCCTGGGTCAGTTGAGCTTGTAGCCTGCGAACGTGAAGAGGCTAGCTAGCCATATGGCTGGCCGATACAACTCGAGCATGCTCAAGATTTGAGCCATAGATCAGAGAGACACTTTGGCTTTGGCAAGCATCTGATAACACTGTGAGCGCACATTGTTCACTTTGTCGAGAGGTAAGGTTAGAGTCAGTCATGGTGAATGAGTTTATGGTGAACGCCAAAAAGGTCAGTACCTGAGTTAGATTGACGATCAATTTCTCCTTGTTGATGATTAACCCTAAGGATTCTAGAAGAGAAATCGCTATCTTGGTAAACCTGTGTGTCTCTTCCACTAAGGATCCGATCAGGAGGATGCTGTCTAGGTAAATTACTAAGCGAACTCCTCTTTTCCTCAGAAAGGCTGCCACTGGTTTTAACAACTGTGTGAATATGCGAGAGGGTATATTCAAAACGAAGGGGTGAGGCTGAAATATTTGTTTTCCAAATAAAACGTAGGAACGTTTGCGATTCTGGGTGGACTGTTACTGAGAGATAAGCATCTTTTAAGTCTAGTTTGGTCACGAAGTGACCTGATTTCAAGAGAGTCTTTATTGCTGAAAGATGCTCCATTTGGAATTAAATGGGAGTTTTCTATAAACTGATTGAGAGAGCTGTATAATAGAACTTTTGAATAGACGGCTGGAAAAGCCATCTTTTGTTAGTACCACTTGGCGAACAGCTCCTTTTTGCAGAAGACTTTGAACATCCAGAATTGGGTTGGCCCTGGTAAGCCCTGAGTAACTTGAGGAGTTTTTTGAAACATAACGTAATGACATTTTTAAGCCTGACACAATGTAGAGGACCTCGGGATCCGAAGTCAATACCTGCCAGTGTTTGATGTGCTCTGGGTGTTGAGCTGCGGTCGGTAGGGCAACCTGGGGTTTCAAAAAAATTTTTGCTTCTGGCGAGAATATTGAAATGTTGACTGGTTGTTACTTGAGTAGTTAGAGTTGGAAAATCTGGGGACTTGTGAAATGGGAGCCTTGAGAGGCTGACACCTGAGTGAGGTTCAAGAGCAGCAATCCTGAAGTTACAGGCTGACATTGCTGCTTTTAAATCCGTAACGGATTGAGGATTTGACGAAGCATTTCATCGTTATTGTCTTCGTTGGCCATAGTTTTAGGCCGTATCACGTATGGACGACTTGCTCGTGGATTCTTCTTGATGCGATTTTTCTCGCGAATGGGAAAATGACTAGAAATAGTCAAGTTCGTAGTGTAAGGCACCGTTTAAGCTGCTCGTGTCCTGAGCACATGGTAAAAAGTCACCAGAGCATCATGGCAAGAGCGTTCCTATGACAACCGTCGAGGGCGCGAGATTTGAGTTTGTTTTAGTACCCTAGGGCGCTTTCCATTAGCACGGCCAGACCGGTCAGAATGGTCAAATTTTTTAATGGAACACAAAACATTTGGGCTTCGGACTTATCTGACCGGAAAAGTTTGATAACATTAGAATGAGGTCCATTTTCGCTAGATATTTGAGAAACATAGACCAGATCTTTCCATTGGTACAGAAAAAAGAATTTGGTTCTGACCGGTCAGGTCATTAAATGGAAAGCGCCCATAGTGTTGAAATGTGGTCCGAAGCACGGTAAAGATGAATTCATACCACTTGTATTCTCATATATTTCGACCGGAGTTCATGAAATATGACTGATTATCTTGTACCATGACGTCCATGACTGCCGCAACCTTGTAACAACGCCTGTAGTTAGGAACAAACAGTACAACTGTAAAATATTATGTTATTATTGTACTTGTATTCTCAATTAGATTTTTATTTTTGATATTGGACTTTATTTTCACTCCAAATCAAGTCTCCTGTCCGTGTTCTTGACAACACTCTACTTTTTATATAGTTCACGCCCCCTCCTATTGATTTCCACATTATGACGTATAGTCGAATTATAAATGTCAATAATTAAATTTATAGTAAATATGAACGAATTATTACTTAGAAACAATATCTCACAACAACCTGTAACACTAACTTTCAGGCCCTTGCACAAAACGTCGAAGTTCTCCTTATATTTTCCAGGTACTTGTAATAGTTGCATACTTGCATCATCAGTACAAGTTGCAGTTTGATAGAAAAACCTTGTATAACGAGTCTCTGGAACAAGCAACGCGCACGCAACTGGCATATATCAGCTTGTTGAACATACACATATCAGCTTGTTGAAACACCAATAAAAGTGCACGGAACTGCACACGTAAAAATCTTACATCTTGTTCACAAGCGTTGTAACAATTTATGTGATGAAGCTTGTTACAACTTGTTGACTTGCAGACCCGTAGCATTTGTTGAAACAATTTGTGTCAAGCTTGTTGACAACAACCTAGTTACCACTCTAGCACAACAACTTTGCCACACCAACAAGCTGGAAAAAAGTAGTGTGACTACATCTTGATGACAAGTTGTTGATGCAAACTTGTTGCAAGTTGTGCGTTTTTATGTGTCATATAGAAGGCTAGAAGCTTTTTAAACTTTTTACAATGTTATATGTAACGGTTATAATTCAATATAATTCTGAAAACTTGGTCTTGCTAATATGTTGGACTAACCCACGTTTCGGTCCTACATGATCGGAAGCTATCGGACATTAATTACCTCCGCCAGGAAGTTTTATTTTCACCTGGGTTTGTGTGCGTTTTTTGTGTGTTTGTCTGTCAGCTCAATAACTCAAAAACCATGCAACGTATTGATATGAATATTTGTGGGGCTAATAGAAATAGTTCAAGGAGTAACCGATAAAATTTTGGTTCAATTTGGATGACTTGCTTTCCTGGGCAGAGTAAACTGAGTGCGTAATTAGCCCATTGTATAATTTATGCATGTAACCTGCGAGCAGACTCACAGTTGGTAAAAAGGTGAGCCTGCTGGAACCATGCGTTTTATTCTTCCATCTTCCTTTTTCTCGCTAGCCAACGCGAACCAATCAGCGTCGACCGGGATAAATAAACAAAGACTGTCAACTGTCAAATTGACGCAGGACGTGAGATGTACAACGAATAAATGTAGTATCTTACAAAAATCGCGGATCCTTCTTCTCGCTCGCAAAAATGTGCGATCGACGACGTTGGAGGCTAATGTTCACAAGAATAGGGTGGGGGGATTATTCAAATTAATGCGGCAAAAAGGGCGGATATAATGTCCGTGCATAGAAATCAATAGACGGTAGACGACCATATCAGCGTTTTGCTCGAAAAAAGGCCGATGGCCAGCTATTATATTACACACTGGTAACGCTATATTCCGGTGATTTAATTCTCAACGAAATTTTTCGGTTTATGAATATTCCTACCTGTTTTTCAAAATCTTCTTTGCTTTTTCTTTTCACCTTCGCGACAGTCTCTTTCATCAATTTTTCCTTGAGCAAATCACGTTCTTTCATCATAGCCTGTTCACGTGGTACTATGATGACATACTGCCAGTCATCACGAGGTCCGTTCGCTCTCACGCGACCACGTGCTTGCATTAATGTGATCTCATTCCCGGGCATACCGAAGTCAATGGCGAAGTTGCATTTTTTGATATCGATTCCTTCCAGGAGAACTGAAGTTGCTACAATGACATTGCAGTCACCATTTCGAAATTTATCGATTTCACGGTCTTGCCTCGCTTTAGGCATACCAGCTGAAAAATTTAAAAATCAACATAAAAACACGGATGAAATTCATCTCGACAAAGTATGCTCGTTCGGGTAATTTGATCATACAGGAACATTCAACTTATTTTTTGTTGCACAGAACTATTTACGTAACAATATTACTGCAGTAAAAAACCTGGAGAACAAACTATAGATATATAACATCAAATTCCCTTAATGATGGTTCTGAGTTAAAGGAAAACATAGTGTATTCCATCAAGTTACTTTTGCACACTGCGAATTGCGGATTTTTAATTTTGCTGAATGCTAATGATTAATTTCAGTTAATGATGTTGTCAGATGGCGTTTGCTACGTATTTTTCAAATATCATTTAGTGCATCTAAAATCGGTCGGACAAATCGCAGCGCGCAAACGCGACTTAAATCTGTAGCCTGCGAAAGTGACGCTTGCGAGTTCCATGTTGAGGTTTCCTAGTTACCTTTTCCGTCTCGATGACCACAGCCAATCACTGAGGTTGGATGTTTCACCAGATTTTGTAAAGCCTGGGAGTTTTTCAGCCAGTCGACCAAAGTCTCAGCAACAAACCGCGTTCTCACGAAAATAATTCCTTTTGACTCAAGACCATTTTTTGCAGCGCAAGACAACTTCTCGAACAAATGTTCCTCCAATATTTGCAAACCAGGGTTTGGTTCGGAATCTCCATCTTGAATGGCTGCCACAGCTTTGTCAAATACTTCTCGAAGTTTAATTTCCATTTCTGTCGATTCTTTAGAGTGGATTTTTTTTTGTAAATACTGCAGTGCATCCTCCGAGCGGATTTGGTCGTTGATCATTAGAGAACTGTTATAAAACTTCAAATGTTCTGAGCAGGTCAAAATGTCTCTACCAAGATTCTCATTGCAGAGGTTGACAACCCAGTTTTCATAGGGTTGGCTGCCGTGCGGGATGGCAGGTATGCGAACTGATGACATCATCGTTTCGATGTCGGTCATGGTGTCACTGATAGTTTTCTGAAATACGTTGACGTGATCACGTGATATCGGTGCGATCTTCACACGAGTGTCTTGCTTTTCTGCATGTACCTGAATCCAAATAATAAACAGTTATTGGATGAGCGTTTTTGTGACATACGAATTATCAACATGCAGCGCGGGTTTCGGTGGGTAGCGGAAGTGAAAACCCTGAGTATCAGGTTCATAATAACGTCATAAGAATTTACAAAAATTATTTACCTACTAAAGTTGTCTAAATGTCAAAAAGATCTGTTTTTGTACAAAAAAATTCACAAAAACGCCTTCGTTCATGTTGTTTTTTCTCATTTTTATTCATTTCTTATTTTTATTCGTACACGGTTGCTATTCAAAAAGTAACCAAAATTAAATCTATCAAAAGCTAGTGGCCAAACAAATTTTTGTTCAATAGAAGCCAAATGCAGACTTCTGCAACACAGTGGTATGCTGAATCATGATCGGTTATGTTTTAGCAACAGTATAATTGGCTGGATTTCATGAATCCTATTTGGTTTTCTGAATTATAAAAAAAAAAAAAAATTTAAAAAAAAAATTTAATAAAAATTTTTTTCACAAAATAAAAAAATAAATTTAAAAATAAATTAAAAATTCTTGTGTTGAAATGGTCAAGCAGAAGCCAAAAGGGCCTAACTTTTTCTTGCAGCCAAAAGAAAAATATACAAGCCAAAATAAAAATATATAAACCAAAATCGAGGCCGTGTATGTAAAGTTGCCACTTGCTATGAAATTACATAGCGCTGACTCAACCCAGAGGGCTCAACATACAGATAACAATGTTCTTTGATAGCAGATAACAATGAAATGTGTAAGTTGCGTGTTTCCATATTTAGCTGTAAGCCATTGACTAATCAGAACAACGAGAACAATGCAAGTTACAAAAATTAGACAACATGCAGTTATGAAAAATCTTCATAGATCTAAGTTCACTCGATTAAGACAGTCACAACAAGTCACACAAAAGCACTGTTCGCGATATTTTTCACCTTTATGACAGGGTTCGATTCCAGCAATTTATGGTTGTCTGATTAAATTTTTACCTCGGTCTTAAGTAAAAAGAGTCCTTTCAGTTTGACTCAAACATCCCAGATGCTCATGGTATTCCGGTTTTCTCTTGCAGTAACATTTCATGAGTAAATAATTGAACAGAAAGCAACCAAGCATGAATAAAGTAAGTGTGGTTTAGGTTTCCTTCTGTAGCAACACTATTCAAATAGAGAATCATTCTTTTTTGCATTTCTAGAGAGAACAGTAAAAGACTAACAAAACCTCACTTCAGTTCAATCTATTCCAGTTCACTATAAAATTCACTAACCTGTAACTCATGAACATCAAGGCTGGCGCATATTCCCATGATATTCTGCTCAGCTTTTTCGCCACTTCCACTGTTGCCAGTTCCAATGCCCAGAGAAGCCGAGAGACCAATAATATGTGGAAGATTAGAAGAGGAAACCTGTGGGGTTAGAAATATTTATCACATATTGAACTTAAGAGAAAAGAAAGAGAAGAACAAATGAATGAAAGGAATGAAACTGTTAAGAAAGCGGAAAGGGAAAAACGAAACATTTCCACAAACAACAGCAACAACAGCAGCAGCAGCAGCAGCAACAACAACAGCAGCAGAAGAACAACAACAACAACAACAACAACAACAACAACAACAACAACAACAACAACAACAACAACAACAACAACAACAACAACAACAACAACAACAACAACAACAACAACAACAACAACAACGACAGCAGCAACAACAACAACATGTACGCATGCATACCACGAACTTCTCTCTCATATACCATCTCATGATTTCGTTATACAGATGGTCCTTGGTAGTATGGTGACATTCATCAAACACCAGAAGCAAAAATTGCGAAAACTGTCCCAACACAATGCATGTTCATACCTCAAACTTCTCTTTCATATACCACTTCATGATTTCATTATACGGATGTTCCTTGGTAGTATGGTGACATTCATCAAACACCAGAAGCGAAAATTTCGATATTGAAATCTCCTTCTCCACTGCAGCAGCTTGCTCGGTGCCTTGCTTATCCTTCTTGAGAGAATTCAGTAACACTTGTGCAGTTAACACGACCACATGGGCATTCTCCAAGACGCTGAGAAGTGAGATATCTGGATTATTGCCGCAGATGCTCGAGACGTCCACAGACTCTGGGAGATATCGCTCCAAATACGCCTGCTGTTGCTCGACCAGGCTGACTGTGTTTACTATGAACGCAACACACTTCCGATCTGGGCATGTCATGTGATGTTTTATCGCTCCTATGGCAACAAATGTTTTGCCGCTACCCGTGGGCGCGCAGATGATGGTGTTCTTGCCCTCAAGTGCGGGTTTTACAAGCTCAACCTGGTAGTCGCGTAATTTCAATTCCTGTTTTTCCATGCTATCAACTAACACCTTACCTAAATATAAATCATATTATAGTGTTTTTCAACCAAATCATTTCATCGAAAGCAATATCAATAAACAACTAGTTTAATTAAAAGTAAACTAAACTAACTAAAGTTATAATGAATAATTCTATCACTTCTAAACTTCTCTCCTTTTTAGGGGAGAAGAGTCAGCGGCCATCCTTTATTTGTTCAGTATTATTTAAGGAACCTAAACTTAACCAACTTATAGAGGATAGCTTTATAAGTATTACACTGTTCTTTTCAGTACCAATCAGGTGTTAGTGACCGAGGAAACCTGCCAAGTACTTTTCTCAGAAAGTCTCAGACTACTGCGAGAAACAAGAATAGACATTCTCACTACTGTGCTAAATTGAAGACCACAATGAGGGGAATCATTTATTTAAACAAGTGGTTCAGAAAGGTAAAAAATGATGATGATGAAGATGATTATGATGGTGAGGATAATGATGAGGCCGAATGATGAATAATAATGATAATAATGACGATAATCATGATGATTATAATAATGATAATAATGATATAGTGATGGATTGGAATAGAAGACTCGGTTACGAGGTGTTCTTCCTGCCGCAAAATTACGATCATATGATCTATTTTACATTCTGTCCACGACTTACATTCTTTAGGGTTTTCAAGTGTATGGTGAACTTTCTGAAAATCATCTTCGTCAATAAAAATATCGAACTGGATATCTTTATTCTTAAAACAATTATTCTCTTCTGGAAAACTCTGAAGCTTCGTTCTAATGGTAGACTTCAGGTCTCCTTCATTAAAATCCTTCCAAAAAGAATTAGCGGCGCCCAAGTCAGACAGACGGAAGATAAAAATCAACGGCGTTTCATCCGAGAATGTCGTCTTCACTAGATTTACGTACTGACGAATATTCTACGAAATAAATTAGGAAAAATTAATTAATTCTCTGTAAACTAAACGTGAAGTTTAATGAATTAAGTAGCAAACGTGAAACGCACATGCACTAACCATTTTCCCACCAAAACCCCTATTGTAATAAAGTTATTATTGTTACACATGTTTATACAGGATAGTCATTTCAGTGGGTATACTGTTTTTCAAACGCGTCCCATTAACCACAGAATTAAATAGGTAAATGTATAGATAACTCTATGAGTATGTACATACAAGAATGAGTTATACAGGGTGTTATCATACATTATATATCACGTTTATCTATTCACGTGAAGATGCAACCTTTGGCCGGACATGCCTAATTTTTTAGAAAACTTTCGCTTTAAGTAACTGCAGTGTTTAATTTAACGTTTTAACAATAAAATTAAACAAAAAGAAAAAATTACTAATTTACTGAAACCTCGGGAAAGCAGTATGTTTTGTAGACCCTCGACCGTCGATGTTTCCCTCGGCTTCGCCTCGAAAAACATCGACGGTCTCGGGTCCACAAAACATACTGTTTCCCTCGTTCCCAGTAAATAAGTGTTAATTGTTTTGCAGGTCGTGAACATCTTGGGGGTGCAATGAGTAACACACGGAGCCACAAGATGCAAACAATGCTTTCTGACACAAAAACGCGCACTAACTAAAGATAAACAGAGCGATTTGCACAACCAACCCAACTCGAGCTTTGCCAGGTCAAACTTCAGATTCAAAATAATGTTGTTATACGCAATAGGTTTGTGAAATGTGATCGCACACTCGATCGCACAAAGGTGAACAAGTCCTTCAACAAGTTGAATTGAGTAAAATAAATAGAGACGTCTTAATAATGGAGCTAATAAATGGATGATTCCGGTTATAGACGAAATTTTGATCTGGACAAGAAGAACGCAATGCATTACCATAGCTGGAAAGAACATCTTAAAATGAGCGGTAAAATTGCAAAGTTTGTTTGCGACTTGTTGTAAAATGAGGAAAATATAGCCCTGTGAAGTTCGAAAATTTTGCACATATTTGCATTACGCGCGGGAAAAATAACCATTTTTGAGCCGAAAGTGGTTATTTTTACCGCGCGTAATTTGATTGATTGATTGATTTTAATAATTACCACATTGTAAATTAATAAAAATTTAAAAAACGTGATATTACATAGATAGTATTAAAATTTTTAAATTTGCGAAAAGTTCAATTTAAAACTACTATAATATAAACTATATTAATGATATGTACTATAAAATATTTTGTTATGTCTATGGTCGGTCCCAGTTTCTAACACACTTTGGGATAAAACTGTTCTTATATCGTTCAGTTTTGCACTTATACATAGGATAAGTGCGTTTATTTCTTAGACTGAATTTGTGAGATATAGCACTGGGAAGTAGCGTTCTCAACTTATCGTCTGAGTGTTGATGGATATTCTTATAGAATGACAAGCACTGATTCTCTCTTCGCTGGTAAAGTGTAAGAAGGCCAGTGTTTCTTAGTGAGGTAGTATAGGAGGACTGGGGGAAAGCTATTTTCAATGCACGTTTTTGTATAGAAATATATACAAAATTTGCGAACTTCACAGGCCGCTATATTTTCTTCACTTTACAACATTTCGCAACCAATCTTTGCAGTTTTACTCATACTAAGTGAGACGCTCTTTCTAGCTGTGGTGTTGGATTTCGTTCTTCTTGCCTTGATCAAAATGTAGTCTACAGCTGGAATCACCCATTAATAAAAGCTTCAAAGTCGTTTGACCTCAACAAAAAGTGCCCGCCATCTTGCTGTGCTTCCACTTTACATTAGTGCGCTGAAGATTCTCCATTCATTAGTGCGCTGAAGAGTACAATAATATAATAATAAAGTAGGATGCATTTAAGCGCAATTGCAGCTTAATGGGTTAATAAGGCTAACATTTTCGGTTCAGTCTAGACTTGCTCCAAGTCTCTCTTTCATTGTCATATCGATCCACTATAGTGTACATTACATGACGTAGTACGGAGGGGCGGGGCTTGTCAACTTCGGAAAATCTCGGTTCAAAACTGAACCGAAAATGCGAGACTTGCTTTAATTGTTTTCTGTCAGTGTTTATATGTGTTGATCTAGCACTGTGTAAATAACATGAGTTCCATTATCGTAAATGATACAGAAAGAAATTGAAGGAAAACAATTAAAGCAAGTCTTGCATTTTCGGTTCAGTTTTGAACCGAGATTTTCCGAAGTTGCCGAACAAGTCTCTCTTTCTTGCTCCGCCTCTCCGTGCTACGTCACGTAATGTACACTATAGTGGATCGATACTATATGACAATGAAACAGAGACTTGGAGCAAGTCTAGGTTCAGTCCGTCAGTGTCTGTTATATTAACAGGCCTTAAAGCCCGTTTTGATCTTTCGCGCCGTCAACGAAAGGTCAAACAAAAGTTGAAAATTTTAAGCAACTGCGGCAGGAGAACAAATTTCTTCAGCGGCGAATGAATGTAAAAAAATGATTTCTTTGTCAAAATTTTTCGCCAGTGGCGGCGAAATAACGGAGTGGAAAACGGGCATTACATGCATTGACTTGTCTGTGACTGAGAGAGAGAATACGGGCTCACGTATGAGAACGGTAAATACAAACTGTAAATACCATATGACATCAACAAACGTGACAACAGCTCGCTCACGTTTGTTTCTCTTCTCAAATTGCGTTCGAAACTATTTTTCAAAAACAGTGGCGTGGTAAAAGAATTGCCATATACACAGCTAAAAACGATCATGTTATTGCGATATTGATGAAAACAGGATTGAACAATGTTGTGCGGCCCACATTGTTCACAGTTGTCAACAACATTATACAATATTGGTACACCCGATTCAGGCTCAACAATATTGTTCAATATTGTTGACAAGTGTGAACAATGTGGGCCGCACAACATTGTTCAATCCTGTTAAACAGCAGGCTCATAATTTTTACGCGTGTACACGGCAAAAAACGCCGAGTCCGTTGCTCAACAGGACTGAACAATGTTTTGCTGCCCATGTTGTTCACACTTGTCAACAATATTGAACAATGTTGTTGAGCCTGAATCGGGTGTAACAATATTGTTCAGTATTGTTGACAGCTATGAACAATGTGGGCAGCAAAACATTGTTCAATCCAGTTTTCATCAGTATTGCATCAACCTGAGCGTTTTTTGCCGTGTATGATTGGTTGCTATATGCGGTCTCGAGATTGCAATACTTCATAACAGAATAGGTTAAGTGTACCCGTTATATAAGCAATGGCTGAACATTGGGTGTTTTTCATAATAGTTGAACCTAACTGTTGACAAACTGTTGACCACCACAACTGTTTTCAACAAACCTGGTCCTGTCCAGCAAGCATATATCAACCATGAATCACTCGTTTATTACCTCATCCAAGAAATCATTGAAATGCTGGCGAAGCTTCACTGCATCTTCACAATGAGAAATCTTGAATCGTTCACAAAATCCTTTCACCTCCTTAATTTGCCCTTCCGTAGGATTCGAGAAACTGATCTTTATTCTGATATCTAGAAATGTGAAAACAATGTTTAACCAAACATTTACAATAACAATCAGATCTCGGTAAACATTTTATATTAAAGGTTTGTTTATTCTATCAGAGTTTCTTTAAATAAGGTACAGTTTGATCAGAGTGCGGGACGTGTAAACCTTCCTATAAAAAATAATTTTCTCATTGCATCGATTCATCAAATTTAAACATGAGTAACTGCCCTAGTAAGCTAACATGTTCAGCTGAAGCAAAACACTTCGCCTCTTACGCCTTGAAAAAACATTGTTCACGTCACTGTTACCTGCAGCAACACCGGCTTCTAAAACTCTGTCATCCCTCCTTCCATCTGAAATTGTAGCGGTGACTAGACAATGAAAACATACCTTTAGATTTGCCAGCGGTATGGCTTCCCACACTTTCGCTTGTAGTTTCTTAATTAAAGGACTAATTTATAAAACTGAAAAGTTGTTGCAAGAAACTAGAAGCACAAACGTAAATGGTAAATGGATATACCAGACTATATACTTCAGACATTGCATGTCTACTCTAGGATATGGCTAAACGGATAGTTATTACAGAGAGTTAAGATTTTGGAGAGTTATGTCCGAGCCAGGCCTACTTTTACCAGCAACCACACCCAATTTCTTAGCTCTCCAATTTGACGTAACTTCGTGAAAACATAATGAATTATGAGAGAGTTAACATGTTCGTAACCCTCTGTTGTTATGTTGTGAAGCGAGGAGAGAGCTTATGAATCAGATTTCTAAATCGTTCGTAGTTGAACGTCTTAACCGGTTTACGGTTGTTTGAAATATTGTAGGTGTGTTACTATTAGTTACTCTCGCTTTGCTGGTGTTCCGGTAGTTGCTTGTTTTAAATCTTACGGATCTCCTTTACTACCATACGTCATAATAATTGAAAACATGAAAGTCAAAAACATCGGGAGATAAAGAAATTGGGTGTCCCTGGAAAAAGTGGGCGTGGCTCGAACTTCACTCTCTCAAATCGTAAATTACTGTAACTCTCCGACATAGCTCTCCCTGGAATAACTCTCCGTTTTTGCCATTCCATTAAATTCAGACGCACTAGCTAGAATATCGTGATCAATACTAGCAATGGTTTTGGAAACCCAAATAACATGTCTGATATTCGATGAATGATTCTTTGTCCATTTTAGTCCAGACGAAAAATCTTTCTCTATTAGAAATTTGGTCAATATGTAAGAGCTACAATCTTGGACATAACTGGTCAAGACTATTTTTCCCCCCATACAGAATTCGCATTTTTTTATGATAAATTCCATGTTGAATCATGTTGCCCTTCTTAAGCCCCCACTCCCCCAAGTCAATGTTGAGTTTGTGTCATGGTATATTACCTAAAGTTGTTTCGGCGTTGTTTACAACATTGAACTGAGGGGAGGGCGGAAACAAAGTTTGTTTTGTCAATGTTCAATAACTTTGTAATATTGGCTGGAATAATCTCAAGGGTTTTGTCCAAGATTGTAGGTGCATATTCCATCCCTGAATGATCCACCTATATCTATATCTATATGTTTAAATAAGTCATTAGACGACAAAACAGGTACTAAATATCAGGCATGACTCCAAGAGCCATTTCCAAGAACAATTCTTGTTATGTAGTATGCTTTTATATTCGTCAGACGCAGAGGCGGTGCTGTCAGATTTGTCAACTATACTTGATTACAAAGAGTTCTAGGGGGGGGGACGTCCGGGGCATACACCCCCAGAAAAAAATTAAAATCTGGAATCGCTGAAATGGCATTTCCTCCGATATCAACCTAACCACCACCAACAACTGTTTCCAGCCATGACTGCTGTCAAAAACCAACTCGTCTGCATTTATGGTTGTTTAGCATTTTTAAATTATCCACTACGACTCCATATAGCACATTTCAAGATATCCATTCACCTGACGTTTTTAAACATCAACTTTTATATTTAAGTTCACGTTTGGTTTTAATTCAGATAATTCGATTCGATAATTCGGTCCACATTCAAACAGCTCAATTTATTGCCACATGAATGCAACAATTTGCCAGTGACGGTAAAAACCTTAGTAACGTTTCTGAGAGGAATTTCAGAATGATTAAAATTTGAGCTAAATTGCTTGAAAGCAGTTCTCAATTTCAATTCATGTAAATAACGCACGATTTTCGAAGTTTAGAAGACCTGCTGCCCCACTGTTTGGGCAACAGGGGCACGTGCCCCGTGGCGTCGCAAACCCCTGAGGATGGCATCGCAAACCCCCGAAAAGGCGTATACGGAAATGCATTGTTAGCGACATTTAGCAATTTAAATCACTGTGCCACCTGTTACGCGGGGGTTTACCCGTTGTATAGCCATATTTGTGTCACAAGTTGTCTGAGCAAATTCTTCTGCATAATTCTTAATGAACGCCTAAATGGCTATGCTCAAGAAAATGACCTGGTCCACCCATCCCAAATTGGATTTCAATCTGGTCACAGAACTGCTGACCATATCTTCACTTTAAAAACACTTTTTGATAAACACATGAGCACAAACAGAAACGACAAAGTTTATGCGTGTTTTGTGGATTTTAAAAAAGCGTTCGACTCAGTATGGCATGAAGGCCTATTTTTTAAACTCCTTGAAAACAAAATTGATGGAAGTTTCTTTAGATTGATTAAAAGCCTCTATGCAAATTCGAAATGTGCAGTCAAGCTATCTAAATCAAGAACAGAATTCTTTTCATACTCTAGGGGTGTACGCCAAGGATGTGTACTAAGCCCAATTCTGTTTAATTTATACATTAATGAGCTAGCAACAATATTTGAAAATACTAACTCAGACCCATTTATCCTTCCAAACGGCACTAAACTGAGTTGTCTTCTATATGCTGACGACTTAATAATATTATCAAAATTGTTGCGTTGATTTGACTAAAATAACATGACGTACGTAGAATATTTATTGTCGCCCGCGATGAACCGAGAAAAAGCGCGCGAAAAGGAAGCCATGTTGAACGTTAAAAGTACGTATAAAAGTAGTCTAAAGAAACGCTAAAAATTAATGTTTTGAACCGGGAAAAGTCAAGTTAGGATTTATGGTTTTAAAGTTTATCACTGGTTTGGACAAATGTAAGTTAAAAACAGTGTAATTGTAACGTAATGTATTGTATTTATATTTGTAAACATAGTCGTAATTTTCTTTCTATTCTTTATCTTATAGCTTCAGATTATATATACATATTTTATGCAAATTTCGTGTTTGTATAATTTAATAATAAGAAAACCAAACCATTGTTGTTGTTTGTCTACTGTCGCCTGCGCCATCGGTCCATTATCTGAAGATTTTATATGTTTGCTGATGGTGCTATGTACTGAACTTTGTCTTTGAAGTAAAATGGATAAAGAGATTAAGAATAAAGCTAAGAATGCACGTCGTGGTGCAAAAGGTTCTCTGACGAGAGCAATGAATGTTACAAATGAACTGATTGAAGCAAGTCGTTCGAAAAGTGAAGTAAAACAAGCCTTTGAAGAGTTACGAAGGGCTCATGAAGGATTAGTGATGAAACATGAAGAATTTACAATGTTATTAGATGATGAAGAGTTCGAAGAAGCTGAAAAATGGATGCAAGTCTGTGCAAGTGAGTACGTAGCCTTTACTATGCGTTATCATGATTATATTAAGAAAATAGATGAGGATAAAAGTAAGCAGAATGTCAGTGACAGTGTCGTTGGTGAATCGAGTGAAGAGAACAATGAGGAAAGTAATGATAGTCAAGGAAGTAACAATCTGATCGAACAGTCTACTGTTTCTAATGAGAACGATCACCCAAGCACAATGCAAAACCCTGAAATGATGCAACACAGTCCGAGTTCAGCCAAGCCCTTTACTGTTAAGCATGAAAAAGCTAAATTGCCTGTGTTTACTGGTGATGTTCGACAATATTTCATATTTAAGTCGGATTTTAAACACGCTGTCGAAGCACAATATTCCGAAAGAGATACATTGACAGTGCTACGTTCATGTTTAAGTTCTGAGCCTGCCAAATTAATCGAAGGAATAAGCTCTGATTTAAATGCTGCCTGGAAGTACCTAGACCAAAACTATGGTGACCCCAGAATTGTATCAGACACGATTACCCTAGATCTAGAAAGATTCAGAAGTATTCAGCCTGGAGAAGATCATCGATTCTGCCAATTAGTAAATTTAGTGAGACGGTCGTACAACATCTTGAAAGAAATTAAGCGCCCCCAGGATATGGATAATACGCATGTGATCTCCCTGATGGAAAGAAAAATGAGCGAAGACGACCTGAGGGTGTGGGCGCGCTATCTTAATTCCGAAAAGTGTGAACCATCAATGGATAACCTTCTGTCTTGGATGGAAGCAGAAATGACTGCCCGAATGCGCTGTGGGGCCCAAATTCGCAAGAATGTCCGACAACACAGGGTCAACACATTTGGCTCCAAGACTGAAAATGATGATGGAAAGCATGGAGAAGATCGATTCAAATCAAAGCAATGTTATGTATGTCAAGGTCGACACTATATAGACGAATGCCAAAGATTCCGTGATATGATGCCAAATGAAAGATGGAAAATAGTGAAAGAACAACGAGCATGTTTTTCCTGTTTGAAGAGAGGCAAAGGCCACACAGTTGCGAACTGCTCACGAAAGAAAGAATGCGGAGAGAAACTACAATCTGGTGGTGTCTGCAATAAGCCTCATCACAAGCTCCTCCATGTCGATGCAAATGTGACCCCAAAACCTCCCCACATCGGTTTTATCCATGATGATGGTAGTGGTGCCTTGCTTCCAGTGCTTCACGGTCAAGTGAAAGGAAAGAATGGAACAAAAGCTGCAAATGTTTTCTACGATAGTGGTGCTCAAATATCAATGGTACGTAAGGACCTTGCCGAAGAAATGGGGCTTGAAGGAAGACAGTCCAAGATAGTTATCACTAAAGTTGGAGGCACCGAAGAAGAGTTAGACACAAAGATATACAAGGTTCCAGTGTCCACCCATGATGGTAAAAGAGTTCAAGTCGTCCAAGCGGTTGGAATACCACACATCTCTGATGATATGACCCACGTCAATTTGAACAGAATCTCATACACCTTTGGAATTCCCATAGATCAATTGAAAAGAAAATCTGGTCCTGTAGATTTGTTGATCGGTATCAACTATCCTCATTTTCATGTCGGTGAAACACGAATCAAGGACGGTTTAGCAGTCAGAAAGAGCCCTCTTGGTTGGGTAGCATTTGGAGCAGATAACGAGCAGACACAGCCGAAAGCCAATCAAGTCACGAATGTCCGTCTAGCCGCACCAATAGATCTCACGGAGTTTTGGACAACCGAGTCGATGGGAGTATCAATTTCCCCATGCAAATGCCCGCCGAACAAAATGACAGCAGAAGAACAAAAGGGATTAAAGCTGATTGAAGAATCGTGTAATTTGGAAGGGAAGAAATGGACTATGAGTTACCCATGGAAGAAAAGTCCCGAACTGTTGCCAGATAATTATTCACAAGTATTGAAGAAGATGGAGTCCACTGAACGCCGGCTTAGTAAACAGCCTGCTTACGCCAAAAGTTATGATGAGCAGATGCAAGAAATGGAAAAGATGCAATTCGCTCGGAAATTGACGAAAGATGAAATTGAAGAATGGAAAGGACCCGTCCATTACGTTGCTCACCACGCTGTTGTTCGCCCAGAAAAGAGAAGCACTCCCGTTAGAATTGTCTTTAACAG